CAAAACCAGAGGAGGATCTTCCGAAGCTTCGTCCGACCTCGTGGACCTTCATCAGCTTGTCAGCCGGCAGGCGGCTAAGCTGCAGCCTTGATCAAAGACTAAGGTTTAGGGTTTAGGGTTTAGGGTTTTAGGGTTTTAGGGTTTAGGGTTTCAAGGTTTAGGGTTTAGGGTTTAGGGTAATTTAGGGGCTTTGGGTTTTAGGGTTTAGGGTTTTAGGGTTTTAGCGTTTAGGGTTTCCCGAAATCACGATGAGTCTTCTTAAATGTCTGCAGAAGATGTGGCCGATTTTGATATCGTATCATACTTTACTCTATTGGACTATATTCTACTATATTATACTATATTCTACTCTTTTATACTCTATTAGACTATATTATACTCTATTATACTATATTAGACTATATTAGACTATATTAGACTATGTTAGACTCTATTAGGCTATATTATACTATATTAGACTATGTTGTACTATATTATACTAAATTAGACTATATTGTACTATATTGTACTATATGATACTATATTATACTATCTGATACTATAGGTATCTCGACATCCTGCTTTGTACTGTGTCGCCCCCCCCTTGGGGCGAGGCGGGAGGCGCTCGGATGGACCTCACGAGGTACTTTGGCATCTTCGCGTCTTCTAGAAGTATCAGTTTCGGGGTTAGGTTTTAGGGGTTTAGGATTTAGGGGTTTAGGATTTAGGGGTTTAGGATTTAGGGTTTACGGTTTAGGGGCTAGCCTTTTACCAAAATATAAACGTTCCACGACGAAGCCGAAGATCTAAAGGCACTCCGGCCTAGTACCTGGCTTGCACCCGGCCTGCTGACACTTCCGCTGGCACCGCTGCTGCCGCTGCTGGCACCTCGACCTCATTGGCCTCGTTGCCCTCATTCGTCTCATTCTCTGGGACGGCCTCGGCATCGGCTTTCTGACAAAACATGCATGTGGCTTGCTTTGACTTGTCGTGTAACTATGTATTTGGCTAGTCATCTGCGTGTCTACTCATTCTATGCGCTTGCCCCTGTCCACGTCTAGTTTTGTGTGTGCGAGAGAGAGAGAGAGACAGAGAGAGACCGTATGTGAAAGCAGGTGATGCATGTAATCATGTCTCTCTATCCAGCATTTGTTCACTTGCTGTTTTACCCAATGCTTGTTCGCTCGTTTCGTGCCGCTCGTATTGTCTGTCTATCGCGGCTCTACCTGTGCACATATGGGTATTGTATAGCTCTCTGCACACACAGATATACAAGTACAACGAGATGATAACATCCAACAACGGGGCAAAAAGACACAATAAGGTGCACTGTCATACAACCACTGTATTGGAGTAGAATACAAACAAACTACAAACAAACCCCGGACATTGCGCCGGTCAGAACGACTCCATCACACGCCTCCACACACCATGCTCTCAGGTCTGGACGTTCACCATGATGCCCGGTGATCGTGCGAGTGCTTCGGTCTGCAGCTAAGCCCTGAGCCCTTGAGCCATTTGCATGTCATGCGAAAGAACTTTGGTTCTCGCAAGAAGCTCAACAGCCTCCAAGATGCACTACCACCGACTTGCACATCCGTCCCTCCTCACCGGTCCATTCATGCAAAGAGCCAACCCAGAGCCAACTAGTTCGAAAGCATCGACCCGAACTCCGAGCACCGCAAGACCTGGAACGGCGGGTGGAACGTCACACGCGTGAGCCTTCATGTAGGCCTCGTATTCCTTCCGGAACTTATGGGTGTCAAAGGCGACGATGAGATCCTTCGTCTGCTGAGGGCTTTCAGCAGATATTATGCGTTTGAAACCCATAGATGTAACATCGGCTGCACCTCTGGCAGCTCTAGGCTTGAGATTTTGCCGTGCGTGCGGCTCAACTGAAGTGTCTGTCGGACATGACCTGATGCACATCTTTAAAACAACTAATTAAGAAATAAACTCACTGGTAATAACAAACAGCCATGTTTTGATGAGCAAAACAGCGAGAACCTGCTGCAAACCGGAGCGAGACGTGAATCGGCGGGGAGCCCCCCAGAGTAGACCTATGTGCTGCTACGCGAAACCCGAGACCTCTGAATCCCCTGCATCCTCGGTCTGGGCTTTGTGGCTGTAAGCCCCGGGCCCAGTGATCCATGGGCTTCAGCTTGGGCGGCAGTGGCACCGGATGTTTCGGATTTACCTGCAAGGTCTCGGGCTCAAGGCCGAAAGACAGATACAGACGGCACTTTCGAATCACTGAGTTCTAGGGCTGGGGGTATAAGGTTTAGAACCCTAAGGGCTGGAGCCGAGTCCTGGGCGGTGAGAGAGTCGAGGGGACATTGAGGCCGGGTCAAACCCACTTAAAGGGAACCTTAAAGGGAACCTTAATAAGGAACCTTATAGGGATCGTTAAAGGGATCCTTACAGGGATCTACAAGGGTTTGGGGTTAGGCAGAGAAGAGATGCAGGCCTCGACGCAGCTGCGCTCGCTCATGGCGTCCTCCTCTGGGATCACGGAGGTGGCGTACGGAGCCGGGCGGCGTGCCTGAATCTTACTTAGGCTACGGATGGGCTTGGAGGACTTTTGGAGGGCTTCGAAGGTGACGGTTTCGGAAAGTTGGGGTCTCAGCCTCTGTGGTTAAGCGGTCAAAAGGGCTCAGGCTTCTCGGAAATTGGAGCCCTCTCCTGAGATCAAGGATGGGCCTCCTCTCCGGCACTCTTTTGCTGAGTCATCATACCAAAGGCATCGGGAGGCAAACAATCTAGACACTTGCCCCTGACAGAGGTCGGACAACGAACAACAATAACAAGCAGCCCTGCACCACAGGTTGCGGGAAGGCGCCTTCTTCGGGTTCACCGAGGCAGTCGCTTGCTCCGGCGCAGGAGTTGTCCTCTGCATCGAGTTGGTGGAAGGGCTCCGCTTAGGGACTCCTGTGGGCCTCGTAGGTCTAGCCGAGGGTTTAGGCTTGGTGGTCTGGCACTTTAGGGTGAAAGGCTCGGTCTTTCAGGGAGGGATGAACAAGTGAGTGATTAAAGCGAGAGCCGCCGGCACGCAGCACAACCAGAATTACTCTTGTCCAAAGATGGGCTCTGCACCGCGAGCTTAGGACCAAAGCGCACGCTTCTGAGCAATGACTGTCTGGTGCTTAGTAGGGAATGGGAATGGATCCCTATGATAGTCCCTTACGGCCCCTCATAGTAGTCCCTATAACCCATTCCTATTCCTCCATTCCCTTCTAAGCACCAGACAGGTGATGGCCAAGGCTACTCCGATTTTTCGCTTTTTTAAAGGTCCTGGCCAGCTGTGCCGCTGAGGCACTCCGACCGCCGCTGCCTGCAGCAAGAGCTTCATATGGTCATTTTGGGGTTTTTAGGTGTTAGATCTGCTTAGTGACAAGATCCCCTTATGGTTACCGTAGCATGTCTGTTATAATAAGCCAAAACCCTCTTTGTGTATGGCCGAAACAGTCAGGGGGGCAGACAGCAGCAGGCTTCCAACCACTCTGAGGTTCCGGAAGACAGGCGCGCCAGACCCCAGCTATACCGACAAGCTCTGGAAAACTAAACCCTAAACCCTAAACCCTCAACCCTCAACCCTAAACCCTAAACCCTAAACCCTAAACCTAAACCCTATACCCTAAACCCTAAACCCTAAACCCAGCACTCGAGTCTGGGCTTCTCTGGCTCTAGACTTCCGGTACGTCATGAGATATCTCAAGCAACGCGGGCCTGAGGGATCCGGTCGTATCCTGCCAGACGGAAGGATGAAAGCATGAAGCAGAGATCTCCCGCAGGGCTTCGTTTAGGGTTTGGGGCCTCGGGTTTAGGGTATAGGGTGTAGGGTATAGGGTTTAGGGTTTAGGGTTTAGGGCCAGGGTATAGGGTTTAGGGCAAAAGGGTTTAGGGTTTAGGGTTTAGTGTTTAGGGTTTAGGGTATAGGATTTAGGGTATAGGGTTTCGGGGGTTTAATTTAAGGTATCTACCGGAAAGGCGCCTGGCCTCCCAGAGGAGCCACTGTGACCTTCTACACCTGGAGGCGCCTTCAGATCAGGCACGGACCTGCAAGGGCAGCTTTCTCCAGAATTGCACATGGTCTACAGAACCGTAATGTAGGGGCTTAGTAATTCGAACAGGATTTTGGGGGGCTCCTTATTATGATTATAGTAGAATATGCCCCCAAACCCTATTCCAATTATTAAGGCCCCTACATTAGTGAATGGAAAGATGCAAGCACTGTGCACTTGGACCGACGCATCGCCACAGTTCCGCCGGTTTCGCTGTGCCCAGAATTGGGGGGGCGACAATTCATAGCTCGCTGTGCAAGCGGCATCGCCATCTCTACAAAGATGCCTTCTCGCGGTTTATGAGCTCTCGCCAGCTGTAAAATTCTGGGACAACTAAACAAAACTGCACGGGCAGCCGGTTTTCCAGCACCTCCCAGTTGCAGTCGTCGCTGTACAAGTCCCCCGAAGTTGTGGGAGGCTCCACTCACGATTCCTGAGATCCCAGAGACACCAATACCCCTTAATGAAGGAATAGACCTTAAATCATAGTAGGGATCCTACTATAATTTAAGGTATATTCCTTAATTAAGGGGTATTGGAGTCTCTGGAGAGGAGGCCATCGGCATTGAAGTGCAATGCTTGTTGAACAAAAGGGGGGGCGCATGGAGCAGCATAAGTACAACTTTCAGGGAGTCAAGACCCGGGGACTGCCACGTGCACAACGGTTTAGGGTTTAGGGTTTCGGGTCAAAGATGGCCATGCCGTAGGTTAGCGTAGAATCTTGGCCTCAGGTGGGGTGGGATCCAATAGGACGTGCTGAAACCGAGACAGCTGAGGTCTGGGCAAGTTCTCTCACAAGTCGCCAGCAGGAGAATCCTTGGAGCCATTCAAGCCTTGGCCTTCTGAGCCTAATATCAGCGGTCCCTGAACCCCTAAACCCCATCCTTGATATGGCTAGCTCTTGCCCGGAATAACCCCACTTGTATCCTTACTAACCAAGTCCCATGAGCCTTTAAATCGTTAACAGTTTGGGGCTTTTTCCTGGGAGCCTTTCTCCGAGCCGCCACTTAGCGCGATGCTCGCCTGGATGCCCTCTGGCCGAGTCCAGACTTCACCTGTGGGCGAGACACGGTTTAGGGGTTCAGGTTTTGGGGATTTAAGGTTTAGGGTTCAGGGTTTAGGATTTGTAGAAGATGAAAAAGAACAACCTTAACCTACTGAGCTTACACTGTTCTGTGTGACCAACACTTGTGACAAAACGATCGCTGTTGTGCTTACTCTTCCGAAAGAACCCCAAAGACCAGAATGCTCGTGTAAACTTGCAATGGGGACCCCGAAGTAAGGCAAGCCCTAAAACCTAAACCCTGAACCCTAAACCCTAAAACCTGAAACCAAAGCCCTAAACCCCAAAACCTAAACCCTAAACTCTAAACCCCAAACCCAGAACCCAGAAACCTTCTTGAAACTCCCGGTGTCGAGGCCCAGACATCGGCCCCTGCTGTACTCGACACCCTGGCATCCTTCCGTCTGCCGGCATTGCGACTGACACTGCTCCAGGCTCCGGATGCCTAGGACGGCTTCGGAGTTTAGGGCTTTGGGGGTTTAGGGGTTCAGGGTTTAGGGCTTTTGGGGTTCAGGGTTTAGGAGTTTAGGGTTTAGGGTTGCGTGGGGGTTCAGGGTTTAGAGGTTACGTCTTAAGGTTGCACGGGGGGATGTTTCAAGCTTCAGGGCCTTTGGGTTTAGGACTATTTAAGGGTTTGAGATCTTATAGCTTTGAGGCTTTCCAGGAGAGTTTCAGGGTTTACGACCTCCGGCTTTTGACCTTTCTTCTAGGCCGGGCTTTCCTAACTCAGAGCTCTCCGTGACATCTTCGGATTCAATGTTGAAGTCGACAGTGTTTACACCACATCAGATGATCTCATTTCATATCATGTCATTTCATACTAAGTCTAGTACATTATACTGTATTATATTATGTTCTTCCAACTGCTAACATCGCAAACCAGGTGCTGATGCTATTCTGCTCTTGACGATCGCGTCTAGTGCCTGCTCAGGTCAAAGTGAATCAGTGACAGCGTTCATCTCATTTTCTAGGTAAATCCACCCGACAGCTAGGAGCCCGGGACAGAGGACCCTGAGTACGGACAGCAAGATATTCGATGAGAACTATTGCGGAAGCGTGCCGCAAGAGCTGGCAGTCAATTCCTTGCTGAACGATTTTCATGTCAAACCAAGCTGCTTCCGACGACCCGGTAGTACGCAGCAGAATTGTCTGCCGGTGTGGCACCCCGACAGGCACGATCACTGCCACCGTCCACCGGCACGAAGCGGCCCAATCTGGGCAAAGAATAGGCCAGGCACCAAAAGTTCGGCAGGGCTTTGCTGCTCTGTATTCCCTGGCTGCGGGTCCAGATCTCGCAGCGGCTTCCAGAAAACTCCACGCCTACGCACTCCTCCCTGAGCTCACAAGCCCTCTGACAAGCCTCCAAGGTTTGGGCCATGGTGACGGTATAGTAGCTGGGAGAGTTATCTCCAGCCCAGCTCCCCCGACATGCACGGCCTTCTCCACCATCTACCGGGTTCCAAACTTTGGAAGCTGGCAGTGAGGTTTCCGTGAGGGTTGTAGTTGTGGTTGAACCTTGTGTTCTAGTTGTGGTGCTTGGATTCTCCGTTGTAGTGGTCGTAGTGGTAGTAAGACTCTGTGTGGTTTCCGATGTTGATACGGAGGGGCCTGTGCAAGAGCTTCCCGTCGGAACAGGCCAGGAATCAAAGCAACGGAAAGCAATGATGTCTCCTGTGTCCAAAGTCACGGAAAAGGAAGCAGCATCTCTCTTCCCAGCAGTGCTGGCCGACCAGGTGGCGCCACTTACCCTGCTCATTGTGAAGGCATTTTCCCCCAAGAACAGATCAGCCTTCACAACTGCAGAAACCATATTCGAGAAAATCACTTTCGTGTACCAGGCATTGTCACCGTCGAGCACCGTCGCCACAGGCCCACCGCTCCCGACGTCGCAGTCGACCGGCTCATAGGTTATTGGGAAAACCCCAGTGGAAGCCCCTGTGATTCTTTGAAACGCCGTCAAGTGGCAGTCAAAGGTCTTCGCACTCCCAGAGTCAACAACCTGGACCACCATGCTACCAGGCACACCCGGATCGGTAGCAGGACTCCCGTCGTAGGAAACACGCCAACACGAGCCACAGGCCCCTCCCGAGGAGTACAGCGTGCTATCCACTGCGCAGTAGCCTTCAGAGGCTATGTAAGGGCTCGATGCAGCTGGCGAACCAAGCCCACCGTTCGCGGCATTGGCATATTCGCACGAGCCTCCGACAATCGTGGTGGTGCTGTCGCTCCACATTGTCATGAAGCCGTCCGCAGCTGCGCGCTGCGACTGAGACTTCATGGTGCGCTGCCGAGCTTGTAGCATTAATGAACCTGAGGTTTGTGGCGCACATGTGGCGTTCTTCGCCTGGACGCATGCCTGAGCGGCAACAGAAAGGCAAGCCTGACAAGACCGTCGAAGGCAACTTGCTGCCCTGAGCGCACTGGTGCAACAGCCCAAGAAAGCCCAGTTGCAAGGTTTGTTAGTGCGTGCCAACAGGCCAGAAACCTCAAGGAGAAGAGGCCGTACCTTCGATCTGTTGATACAACTTGCTGATGGTGGCTCTGACGAGTTTGATACCATCATGATGGTGATGGTGAGGGTGAGGGTGAGGGT